CAATGCCTAGAAGCACAATGAAGTCTATTATTAAGAAGTGGAAGGTATTTGGTACAACACAGACCCTCCCTGGATCAGAACGTCACTCCAAACTGGATGAAAGAGTCAGGAGTAAACTGGTCAGAGAGGCTACCAAGAGACCTACAGGAACTCTGAAGCAGTTGCAGGAATTTATGACAAAGAGTGGTCATTAGGAAAAATGGATGGGGCGAAATCCCATCAAATTCTCAATGAAAAGCTGCTGCCCTCTGCCAGGAAGTTGTCAATGGGAAGAAGATTTTCCTTCCAACATGACAATGACCCAAAGCACACAGCAAAACTGGCCACACAGTGGTTGAAGGAGAAACAAATGAATGTCCTTGCATGGCCTAGTCAGAGGCCAGACTTAAACCCCATTGAAAATCTGTGGAATGACTTGAAGACTGCAGTCCACAAACGGACAACATCAAATTTAACTGAACTTGAGCAGTTCTGCAAAGAAGAGTGGGCAAATATTGCAAAGTCTAGATGTGCAAAGTTAGTAGCGACAGAGACATATCCCAACAGACTAAAGGCTGTAAATAAAGCAAAAGGTGGTTCAACAAAATACTGACACAATAGGGTGATCCTTTTTCCAATTCAGTGATTCAGGTTTTTTTATTTATTTTCTGACATGTTGGTGTTAGTGTTATATGTTTCACTTGGATGTTATAAGTTGCACTGAGTAAATACAGCTGGATACAACAAAAACTGTGTCTGCAAAGCAACAAAATACGATTATTTTAACGGGGGTGATTATTTTCTATACCCACTGTAGTCACGGCTTTTGTACCCTTTTTTTCTGAGAGTATACAGCAATTGTTGAGCTCATGGTGTGAATCTAATTTCTCTTCCAGGTGGATTATTACTAATAACCTCTGTGACATAAATGTGAATTTTTATCTAAAACTGCTCTGCTTGACATGCCCACCTTAGTTTAGAAATACAAAGGCTGCCCTTCTAAGGCTTGTGGTGAAGAGATGTGGTGTTCATCAGAATAATCACAATGAAAAGTTTTTCGCCAGCACATGCAATCAGCCCCAACCGGTCCTCCTGGGCTCTGGAAATAAAGGCTCACAGCTTGCTTGTGTATGTGTGTGTGAGCAAGAAGCTGGCAAGGTCAACGTCATCAACTATTCAACTGCCACCTCTTCATACTGACTCATAAAAGTGCATAGTTTCCTAAAGAATAGAGGGAGAGAGAGAGTGGGGCATGGAATGAGAGGAAAAGTGAAGATAAGCAAATGGGAAAAATAGAAGTTTGGTCTGATTCATTTTGTGTGTCCTTTGTGAAGATGATGGACAGTGGGAAGGAGCGGCTGGATTGATGTTGAAGGTTGGCTTCATTCTAATAAGATGCACATGTGTTCTGCAATTAGTCCTCATCACTGTTTTTATAGTTTGTCCTCCATTCTGACATCTGCTCATTTTTTCGTAGCGCTGAGTGACACACAGTGGCTTTTAGCAGGAGGCTCTTCACATTACAGGCTATAGCAGAACCCCTGCATTCAGTGTTCATTCAGTACAGCAGCAGGTGAGATTAAGCCTAACTTCTGTGTATGAATCTCTCCTGAGTTCATTTGATATGGACATATTAATTATTCACAAAATATTGGTAGTAAATTCATAACCATAAAGTTAAAACAATTTTGTTTAAATAACTGTTTATTTATTTATTTATTTTTTTGCTGAATTGCTAGCAATACGCCACTTTCTTTCTTTCTTTCAAGGCCAGTGAAAAGTGGGCGATCACTGTTGTGCTTTGTTAAATCTCTTGAAATTCTGCATTCAAACACTGCTAGTATTTTTGCTTATTTAGTCACGTTGTCTAAAAGCATCTGCTAAATAAATAAATATAATGTACATTTTCAGAATTCGTAAAGCTTCACAGAATTCGACCTTTTTCCTTGAATGTTTGTTTATGAAATATTTGAGCAAATTTGATAATGCTTCCAGCTACAAAGAGAGTTGTGTGTAATTATGCAACTGCGGAAAATAATGTAAAGTGAATCTAATAAAACAGGAGCATGCTAAAAGCATGCATCTATTCTAGCTACTATGCTGTTTTCTGATTAGAACATAATTGCTGTGTTTGGCTATATTTATGGTTTTATATTAGCATGAAAATGTCCTACAAAAATAAATTTCTCTCCTTGCAGCTGCTAGACATTAGAATGTTCTGGAGATTTAGGATGAAATTAGACATATCCTCTGTGATATAGCATCTGTCAGGATAAATTACTGCCTCAGAGAGTGAGCTCTCTCAGGTGAGATATTGATGAGCTCAGGATAGGCTAATTAGCCGCACGCATGGCTAAATTGGTTATTTCTCATTTGCGGGATGTTTTAGTATTGACTGCTTGAAATTGACCTCCTACAGACTTAATAAGAGTTTCTTTTTGTTGCAACTTGAAATAAGTTGATGATCGATGGTGTAAGTGGCCTGGAATTTTGTAATGCTTGTCACAGTAGAGTAAGGATCCTTGAATCTGTTCGGAGCGGCATACTACCTTTTATTTAAATGAAGTATTATGCAGTAAGTGTACTACTATGTTCTGTTATTATTATATATTCTACACCACTGCTCAAAAGTATGTGATCAGTAAGATTTTTTAATAATTAGTTACTATTTGTAGTTAATAATTCGTTTTAATAAAGTCTCACCTACAGTAATATTGTGAACTATTATTAAAATGTATTACTCACCCTCAAGTTGTTCCAAACCTGAATGAGTCTCTGTCTTCTGGTGAAGAAAATATTTAGAAGAATGTGGGTAACAAAACAGTTCACAGTAGCCATTGACTTTCATAGTATTTTTTTTTCTCTCCATACTGTGGAAGTCAATGGCTACCATTAACTGTTTGGTTGATTTTGGGTGAACTTTATGTAATGTAATCTCTTTAATGTTTAAAAAAAAAAAATTTAATCTCACTGACCCCAAACTTTTTAAATGGTGTATGTACATTAAATTACATGCTGTGAAAATACTGTATCCCACAATGCAATGTGTTTGATCTTTTCTGTGTGGCTAATCACCATGGTGACATTAGAAAATTAGAGCTGTCTGTGCAGGTCTTGAGATGTTTGCTTACAAACTGATGAAACCTTGTGTTGTGTTGATATAGTTAGTCAACTGTAGGATTGTATGAATTTTGTCTTTGGGATCTGGAGGAAGAGACGCAGTAATTAGCATGTTTGAAAGTCTAATTAGGTGCATTGTTTCTTGTCCAAAACATGAAAATGAGGGGCTTTTCTTACCAGTCATAAAGGATATTGCTGTGTAGTCACATGACTGTTATGCCCACAGAATATGGCTGGTTGATATCTGCTAGTTTAGAACAGACCTTCCACACAAATATACGAAAATACAGTATCTGCTTCACTTTTTATCCTTCAGATCTTTCAACATACTGTAGCCGCCATCAAACTGCATATCAGAGTTATGCATATGCTGGAGAACAAAAGGTCTTGACCGAACAAACATTTTGATTGTCTCTTCCACTGTCATTATCCATTCCTAAACAAAAATTAAAATGCTAATGTCTCCATCCTCTTCTTCTCCATCGTTTCTATTTGTTTATTAAATTACTGTCTGAGGCAAATATGATGTTTCTGCAAGAATGGCTTTGACAAATCTCTAATGGCTGCAGTGATAACAATAACAGGGACGTGCTACAGTACGTGGAACCAAAGATATTAATCTTGGCATGTTTTTAATAGTCTGTAAAAGTTAGCCTTGTTACTGTATGTAGGCTGTTTAATTTTAGCCGACTAAGAAATTCTGTTTGTTGTAGCATTTTTATCTATTTAAATGCAATCTCTCAGATGTAATCTAAAGGGTTGTGCAGTACAGAGGAGTTGTTTTATATGAATTGCATCTAGTAAATCATATTGCATAAGTCCTCCCTCTGAGTCTTGGCGAAGCTGTGAAGGAGTTTGGTAAAATGCTGTTAGTCCGCCATTGTAATGTGAGACCGCATGCTTTAAAGCATGTCAAATTCTGTTTTTTTCCTCCGGTGTTCAGCTCTACATTTGTGTGGGTCTCTGAGTCTGTGTGAGACGTTGTCAAAACCTGTCTCAGGCTAGCTCAAGCACAGAATTGACAATGTTCTATGAATCTTTTACCCCTCTGAAAAAGTAGTAATAGAAAAGCATTATTTCTTGTGCATTACTGCAGTCACTTTCAAGCAGGGGTCTCGAAGTATGCACCATACAACTGCTAAAGCAATAGTTCACCCAAAAATGAAAATTAGTTGAAAATGTACTCACCCTCAGGACATCCGTATGTCTTCATCGTAACAGATTTGGAGAAATGTAGCATTACATCACTTGCTCACTAATGGATCCGCAGTGAATGGGTGCCGTCAGAATGTTAAAGCTGATAAAAACATCACAATAATCCACGACTTCAGTCCATCAAATAACATCATGTGAAGTGAAAAGCTGTGTTTGTAAGAAACAAATCAATCATTAAGGCATTTTAACTTTAATCTGTTGCTTCTGAATGAAATAGCAGAACTGTTTTGGACTGTTTTCACTTGTAAATTAATATGTCTCGTACTCGTATTTTAGCCGGAAGCAACAGTTTGTAGTTAAAAATGTCTTAATGATGGATTTGTTTCATACAAATATGCAGCTTTTCGCTTCACAAGACGTTAATTGATGAACTGAGTTGTGTTGTGGATTATTGTGATGTTTTTATCAGCTTTTTGAACTGTCTTTCTGACGGCACCCATTCACTGCAGAGGATCTATTGGTGAGCATGGGATGTAATGCTAAATTTCTCCAATTCTATTCCGATTAACAAACTCATCTACATCTTGGATGGCCTGAGGGTGAGTACATTGTCATTAAATTTTCATTTTTGGGTGAACTATTCCTTTAATAGTTTGTCTTCAAATATAGTTCACAAATGTTGCAATAGAGATGGCTTTACCTATTTGCTATGCCAAACATTGTGCTTATGTGTTTGTCCTGTGCAGGTGTGTTGTGGAACCTGTCCTCGTGTGATGCTCTGAAGATGCCTATAATCCAGGACGCTCTAGCCGTCTTGACCAACACCGTGATTATACCCCATTCCACCTGGGACGTGTCCCCACATCAGGAGGACCGCAAGCTTCAAATGCACACATCTCAAGTACTTCGCAATGCCACCGGCTGCCTGAGGTCAGTATGTGGGTTATTTTCTTATATGATGGAAAAACGTTCGTTTACTGGGATAGTTCACCATAAAATGTTAATTCCTGTCATCATTTGCACACCCTAATTTCATTCCAAACCTGTATGACTTCTTTACAACATAAAATAAGATATTTTACATAGTGTTTCAACTGTTTTTCTCCATATAATGAAAATAAATGGGCATCACCGAGTCAAAGACAGTCATATGGGTTTGGAACAACATGACTGCAGATTGTTGGTATGTGTGGATTGTTCAAAGATCCATTTGTGCATAAATTTCCACATTGAAATGAATGTGTAGTTCTACATAAGACCGACTTATTGTTGGAATTACACAGAAACTGTGTAATGAAGAGTGTACACTCTTGTTCAAAAAGGGTTTTTTTGACAGAAATTAATACTTTTATTGAGTAAGAACACATTAAAATAATCAAAAGTGACAGTGAAGACATTTATGTTATAAAAAAATATATATTTCAAATAAATGCTGTTCTTTTGAGCTTTCTGTTCATCAAATAATTGATAAAGATAAATGAAAAAATGTATCCACAAAAATATTAAGCAGCACACAGGAATAAATTAAATTTTAAAATATATTCAATTATAAAACAGTCATTTTAAATTGTAATAATATTTCAATGTATTACTCTTTGTAATGTATTTTTATCAAATAAATGCAGCCTTGGTGAACATAAAAGACTTCTTTCAAAAGCATTAAGAACCTTACCAACCTAAAACTTTTGAACAACAGCATATATTGGCATGTTCATCGAAGTGGCGGCTCTTGACCTCAAAGAAATTAATGCTGAATAAAAAAGATAGACTACTTTGCAAATTTCATTCACATATACCTGTGAAACTATAACCCAGATTGCATTTACAAAACAATTCACATACGGTACCTGTTTGGAACGCAGATGCAGTCACAACCCCAATGATTGTAAATGGGCTGTAAAAGGCAGATCTCTCATTAAGAACAGATTGTGGTCTGAACAGTGTGGTTGTTTCTATGGCAGCTAGCCACGTGATGTAGATAAGAGAGTTTCATATCTGGACCACTAAGAACAATGGTTCCTTTGATGAACTGACAAAAAAAAGCCCCAAGAGTTTGGGATTTTTACACCTCCTTCCTAATCCATACGGAATGAGGAAGAAGCCTGCCAAGCCATTTCCCCCAGCCACGTCTGTTCCGTTCATTCGTAACTCTAGATTGCCCGCAGGTAAAACTGAACCATAACCTGTATGGCTTTGTCATCTTGAGTAAAGGTTTACCATATCGTTCCTGTCTCTTCTGCGTGAAGGAAGAGAACACAAAGCATTCGATTCATGATTTATGCAATAATGCATAATGATGTCTATGTGGAGTGCAAATCTAGCTTGTTGTGATTTATACATAGCTTCTTGTTGTCAAGAGTTGTTTGAAAAATAACTGAGAAAGTGTTGATTCTCTTGGGTTGAGTTTCAGTCTCACGTAAGGTTTTATTCTTGTATCCATAGCAACAGCGCAGTATTAAACTACATTAAAGTCAGTGCTGTGAGAGGAACACGCTGCTTTTGTTTGCTCTCCCAGTTTCCTTTTAAGATTTCCTAAACGAATGAAACTTTTATAAGCCATACGTGGAGAACTTTTGCAGTTTCACTAAACTTAGCTGTTATCAATTATATTTTTACCTTCTGTAAGACATTTTTGAATTTACATGAAGAGATGTACATGTACTGTATGCAAATAAACACTGATATGCAAATACAAAATACAAATACAGTCGTTTTATCCTCTGATTTTAGTTTTTCTCTAAATGACAAGTCTGCTTCTGATTCCAGCAGTGAATTAGCCCTCAGAGTGAATGGCAGTGTCTTGTGTTTCAACAAATCATCTTCTGTAGGAGCGCTGTAAAGAGGCAATTACCATCCTCCGCATATGAGTCTGTCAGATACGCATTATGCAGACCATGTGATTGTGGACCACACATATCCTCTACTACATTTTCATTCATTTGCAGAGCTAGTTGCTTATGATAGTTTAGTAAAAATGTGCTGTGATTATTTAATCTGACGGATGAGTTTGGAAATCGAATATGGATTTTCCGAGTAATCTTTCCACAGTTCTTTCAGTGATAATTCCACAATCTTTCAACAATCTTTCCAGTTCTTTTTAGTGAATCATAAACATGCAGCGAGACAAGTATAGTGTGATTCAGAAGCAAATGACTCTTATGAACAGGTTATTTTAGTGAATCAAAAATGCATAGCGAGTCCAGGAAATGGACAAATGGCTCTTAGAAGTTTACGGTGAGACCAGAAAAGTGTGATTTATGAGCAAATGACTTGTATGAACAGGTTATGTTTAGTGAATAAGAAACATACAGCAAGACCAGTGTAGTGTGATTCACAAGCAAATGATTCTTATAAACACTTTCTGAGTGAAAAACATACAGCAAGGCCAGTGTATTTGATTTACAAGCAAATGACTCTTATGAACGGGTTCATTTTAGTGAATCAAAAACATACAGTGAGACCAGTGTAGTGTGATTCAAGAACAAATGACTCATATGATGTGGTTCTTTTTAGAGAATGAAAAGCATACAGAGCAACCTATGTAGTCTGAACACAATCCCAAACAAATGGACACATGGCTCCTGAGAGTTGGTTCTTTTTAATGAATCAAAACATGCAGTCAGTAATGTGAGTCATGAGCAAATGGCTCTTATGAACAGTTCTTTTCAATGAATAATAAATAAACAGCAGTACCAGTGTAGTTTGATTCACAACAAATTACTCTGATGAACATATTCCTCTTATTGAATCAAAAACATGCAGCGAGCCTGATGTAGTGTGAATTATGAGCAAATGACTCGTATGTGGTTCTGTTCAGTGAATCAAAAACATTTGTATGTTGACCAAATCTTGAACAAATGTCCTGCAAGATCTAGTTATTTTTAGTGAATCAAAACATACATGTGTTATGTGATCTACAAGCAAATGACTCTCATGTACAGGTTATTTTTATTGAATCAAAAACATAAGAATGATCAGTGTAGTTCTGTTCACAAACAACTGACTCATATGAACAAAAACAAAGCAGTACCAGTGTAGTTTGATTCACAACAAATTACTCTGATGAACATATTCCTCTTATTGAATCAAAAACATGCAGCGAGCCTGATGTAGTGTGAATTATGAGCAAATGACTCGTATGTGGTTCTGTTCAGTGAATCAAAAACATTTGTATGTTGACCAAATCTTGAACAAATGTCCTGCAAGATCTAGTTCTTTTTAGTGAATCAAAACATACATGTGTTATGTGATCTACAAGCAAATGACTCATGTACAGGTTATTTTTATTGAATCAAAAACATAAGAATGATCAGTGTAGTTCTGTTCACAAACAACTGACTCATATGAACAAAAACAAGAGTCATTCCCCAAATGAATGACTCTTATGAGCCGGTTCCTTTAACAACTCGTTCAGAAATATGAGTGACCAGCTTGAATCAGTCATGCACTGCCCAGTACAATTTACAACTAAAGCAGTAAGATGTTTTATAAGATGTGAAATATGCAGCATGCTTTGCTTCAAATGTTTCAGGTGCCCCGAAAATATTTAATGGTAATTTGACTGAGACATTTACATTATATTCTCGCTGTCTCTTCTGGGTATCATTTTGAAGACAGTCGAGTTGTCAATTTCTCCCAATTTCTGACAATTAAATACTTCAATTCAAATTGATGATGTTCGTCAGGGTGGGATTTTTTTTCTCTCCCTTGAGGGCGGGAACACTTGAGCAAGCCATTGAAAAGCAGTGAAGCAGTGTTTTTGGAATTGAGCCTCGTCCCAATGGGACTTATACACATTGCTGCTGTAAATCACTTCCACAAGCAGAAATCAAATTTCTGAAACCTCCGGGTCTCCATGGGCACAAAAATCTATCTAATAGAAAGAGATTTTCTCAGCCACAAAACACAATCCCTCATGACATCCCAAAAAGCCATCACAACATTGGATTTTCCTTCTCGCTTTCTCTGTCAGACTTCAGTGAATGGATGAATCAGCCATTTACACAGTTGAACAGCTCCGTACTCTGTTTAGGTTCAGCAGCTCACCAGCTGTCAGTAGGATCTTAATCGAACCTGAACGGCTGCCCGCTCTTACGAATCTTTTCCTTTCATAATTGTGTCAGAGCTTCCCTCCAACCCTCTAATGTTGATTGAGGGATTGTTTCTGAGGCGAAATGCACTTATCCTGTAGTGAGATCAAAGAGTAAACATGATAACTTGAGTTTAGACTGACTAATGCTCAATTTTTCTCCCAAGAAACTGCATCAAAGACCTGTTATGAGTTTGTTTTTTGTGCTCTGTGCGGAATGTCGCTGAAAATTACAAAAGCACCGCTGACTCGCAACCCTTTGCCTTGAATGTTTATTCATACATGATCAACAGTTCATAGCACATTTATACTTGTTAAATAAACAAAATCTGTGCCTTTTGAGAGATCTACTGATCACAGAAACTTAAGCCACATTTCAATGGATGAGATGCAGATGGTGTTTCTAGCTAATTTGCTGACTTTCAGATTGTTTGTTTATTTTGTTTTAGTTAGAGCTTTTGGCTTTTGATGAAAATGTCCTCTTCATTTTGTTATTGTTTTGTCACGCCATATTCATTCATTTTAGTCAATTTTACTTTGACTAAAATGGCATCTGATTTTTAGTCAACCAAAAATATTTTAGTTGATGGAAAAACTGCAAAACTATACCAAATGTTTGAATATTTCAAATATTAAATTAACATGTGAAAAACTGCCCTTGTGAAAACCTGATCTTCTGAAATAGTGACATTATTATATACAATGTTGTGATTTCTTTAGTTTTTTGCTACTGCTTTAGTTTGTTCACATGATTTTCACATTCTAACTAGCACGTGACTTCAAGTTCATTTTGTGCAAATGTAACTTGTAATATTACATTTATATTGTGTATACACTACTG